ACTGTGTTTTTTTTTTTTTTTTTTTTTTTTTTTTTTGAGAGATTTTCACTATAGGGCGCGTGTGCTCACCAGACAAACAGAGAGACATTAGAGACAGAAAGCAAGAAATCACCCCCGAGGGGGGATGGTCACGCCGCAATCCCTTCTCCTCCATTCTTTCTCGGGATCTTGGGCATGCACGCATACGCGCCTGATGTGTTTTAAGTCACCGGGTCCGGGATGCGAACCGCGGTCGACTACGTGGGAGTCCAGTGACATAGCCATTACGCTAGCTGCTGGTTCCCAATGCTTAATTGTTTTTTTGAGGAAAATAAAGCATATAATTAATATCACAAGGGTTGAAGCCAAAAATCTGGGAGATTTTTTTTTTAAAGAATTATTTATTGAGGCCAGCAGATGGCTTGGTGGTAAAGGGTTCTGGATTTCCACGTGGCTGACTTTGGCTCGAGTTCCAGACCTGGTGGCTTGCTTTCTCACTTTCTTTCTTGAGCTTTCTCACTCTGTCCCTTTCTAGTCAAATTAAAAATAAATAAATAAAGTTAAATAAAATAATTCTTTAAGAGAACTATTTATTATCATCATCTTTCAATGTGACCAGAGAGAGCACAAGCAGCCAGGTCTAAGACTCAAACTGGGGTCGGCCGCGTGGGAATCCAGCGCCTTTAACCACCACGCCACCTACCAGCCCCAAAATTTGCAAGATTTTTATTCCAGCTATATTACCTAGTCAGTGGTCTTGACAGGATTATTTTCAACAGCACTGTGTGGGCAGGCAAGTCCTTGGGGACATATCCAGAGGGAAAGGAAGGTGGACTTTTGAAACAGAATTCTCTCAGGGTCGAAAACATTGATTTTAATTGTAAAGTAGGTGTTAAAGTCAGCGGAATTGGTCAGGTTAGATTCCTTTAAAATCTACTTAACATTTTCTTTTGTTGTGGCCTAATGGTTGACCAAAATAGGTTCAGTACTCTTTGTCTTGCTGACTCTTGTCAATTGGCGTGAGATGCGAGCGTATGACAGGTCTGCCAAAACCCATGACAGTCCGGGGCAGCGGCGGGAAAGAGGCCTGGCTCTGCAGGGTTACAATGGAGCACGCCCGGGTCCGCGCGCCTGAAACTTCGCGGGCCGGGGCCTGGGGCCGAGCCCACAGACGACGTGAGCCTCGGGAATGCGCCTGCGCCAATGTCTCGGAAGGGGCGGAGCCTGCGGCGGGACCCACCTCCGACTGCGGCGGGTTTTCTGCCTTGCTAGGAACTGCTTCCGGACTGGGAGGCGGTAGTTGCAGCCGCTGATCGAGGTGGCCCCCGGCTCACCCCCGGGC